AAACAGATTCCCCATATTTTCCTATATTTTCTGGGTTTTTGTCTTCCCCCCCCACTTCCCATATTTTCCCATCTTTTCTGTGGAATCGAGGATTCATTGTGTCTGTGTGTTTCTTTTCCCCTCCTGATCCCCTCTCGATCGCAGGCCGAGTGGTCCAAAGGCCGTGGCCCCCCCCGCGGGCGCGTGTGAACGGCCGGCCGCGCCGCCGCGGGGGTCTCCGGGCCGTCGGCGGGAGGGTGCCCCCCCGCGGAGGCGGGGAGCGGAGGAGGAAGAGGAGGAAGAGGAGGAGGAGGAGGAGGAAGAGGAACAGAAAGAACAGGAGGAGGAGGAGGAGAGAGGGAGGAGGAGGAGGAGGAGGAGGAGGAGGAGGAGGAGGAGGGAGGAGGAGGAGGAGGAGGAGGAGGGGAGGAGGAGGAGTGGAGGAGGAGGGGGAGGAGGAGGAGGAGGAGGAGGAGGAGGAGGAGGAGGAGGAGGAGGAGGAGGAGGAGGAGGAGGGTGCCCCCGAGGGGGGTGCCCCCGCGGAGGCGGGGAGCGGCGGCGGGAAGCGCGCGGGCGGCCGATGCCTCTCGCGAGAGGCCCACGTGCAGACCGACCCAGAGGTCAAACCGGATGGAACAAATCCGGACGGAGGTTATTCCATGCTTTCGGCGTCTGTCGGGTCGGGCGGAAGGGGGGGATAGCAAAGGGGGGGGTTGAGAATCAGCTCACGTAGCTGATTTTCCCGGCGCCTCCCGGCGCCGGAGGCGGCTATGTATCGAGGAATGGGCCACTCGGAGGGGCCGAAACCAGCTGCATGCAGGAAATTTCGTACACCCCCCTTTCCGTATCCCCCCCCTTTCGTCCGGCCCGAGTCGAGGCCCTCGCTGGGCACCGGGACAATAGAAGAACGACTCAGGAGGAAAAGCCAGCCCTGGGGAAAGGGTCGGAGCTTCCAGGGGCCCCGTATGGAGCAGATCACGACGTCGGGTCTCTGGGAATACTTGGCAGCCGGGGCGCGGGCCGCATCGGGCGCGGCCATCGCCGCTGTCTTCGCGCACCCCGCCCCGCGGGCGAAGTGTCGGTCCGCACGTTATCTGTGTGTTCGAAGATGCCGCTGGCGGAGCCAGCACGTACACATGTACTTTTTGTCGTCGGCGGCGAGGCAGCGGTGGCCGCAGCAGCGGTCCAGCGGAGCGGGGCTGCCGAAGAGCGAACTGCCCAGCGTGCAAGGAGGAGAGGCGGCGGTCGCGGAGACAGGGCGGCAGTGGAGGCGGAGGAGCGCGTTTCTTGATTTTCGGCGATAGTGGGCATTATAGGGGGGGGGGGAGGGGGGCCGGGGGGGCATTATGTAACGCCTCCCCCCCGCCGTGTGCCCGATGCGCACGGCGGCAGTGCCCGGAGCGCACCAGGGGGGGGGGGGGAGGGGCGTCACGTTACAGGGGCGGAGGGAGGGGGGGCCGGGGGCTATGATGCCCATGATGCCCCCGGGCAATGAAGAAACGCGCTCATGGGAGGAGGGGGGGCACTCAGAGGAGGAAGACTTCCAGTGCACACACACACACACACACACACTCGGGGGCGCGCAAACACGGATTAGCGATACATGGATTTGGCGCGCGGTCGCCAGATCCATGGATCAGGGGAGGTGCACTCCCCAAAATGCGGCCGGTTCCGCCTCGTTCGGCGGCGGAAATCCGCGACTTCCCATGGAAGCGGGAACAGTCGCTAATCCTGCTTCTTGAGTTAATCTTCAATAGTAAAAATTCAAGAACTAATCCCGGTTTTTGGACTCGAAAATAGAATCCTGTTTTTTTTGAAGTTCGAAATCCAGCCCCCTTGATCCATGTTTGCGATCGCCTGACGCGCACCTACACTTAGGTCGGGCCTGTCCCCCTACAGGGGGATTTGGGGCGAAAAATGAAAAAATACACAGAAAATACCCCCAACATGATCAAAAGTAGTAACAGAAGAGTCCCCATGCTTTGCTTTGACTATGTTTGAGCATTCCCCCCGTAGAGGGACAGGCCCGACTTAAACCTACGCCTGCAATCCATCGCTGGCGGAGCTGTGGGCGCGTGCTTGCCGCGGTGTCCCCGGCGAGGCGAGGGCGCCTGCCCGGGGAGGCGCCGCCGCGGCCCGCGCCCCGAGGAGGGAGCTCGCGCGTGCCCCGCGTGGCGCTCGCGGAGATCGCAGCGGCGCGCCGGCCGAAAGGCTTTCCGTCCACAAGCAGCCCTCCACAAGAAACCCAACCCTTCCACGAGAGACCTTCCACGAGAAACCTTTCATAAGATACCCTCCCCAAGAAGCCTTCCACAAGGAACCCAACCCTTCCACGAGAGACCTTCCACGAGAAACCTTCCACAGGAAACCTTCCGCAAGAAACCTTCCACAAGAAAAACCCTTCCACAAGCAACCCTCCACAAGAAGCCTTCCTCCAGAAACCCAACCCTTCCACAAGAAACCTTCCACAAGAAACCTTCCACAAGAAACCCTCCACAAGAAGCCTTCCACAAGAAACCTTCCACAAGAAACCCTCCACAAGAAGCCTTCTACAAGAAACCCAACCCTTCCACGAGAGACCTTCCACGAGAAACCTTCCACAGTAAATTTCCACAAGAAACCTTCCACAAGAAACCCAACCCTTCCACAAGAAACCTTCCACAAGAAACCTTCCACAAGAAACCCTCCACAAGAAGCCTTCCACAAGAAACCCAGCCCTGAGACCCCAGGGCGTCCACTGACTCTTGGGTGTGGGAGCGTCGCGCCCTCCAGCGCAGAACCCTCGAAGCCCAAGAGGCCCAGGGCACCTTGGAGGCAAGCGGGGTGCTTCTTGGCATGGGCCCCCACTGTAGGGCCTGAGCCCCGTGTGCACCGCCCCGTTTTCCGTTCTCTGCTTTTGAGCAGGGGCCGACCGTCCTGGCAGTCCTGCAGGCCTACCACGACATGCTCGTAGAACCCCCAATCATGTTTCACAAACGAGGACACCATTCTCTTAGAACACAAGCCCGATGTGTTAAAACAAGAGTTCCTTGTTCGTTTCCGCATGCCGAGTCATCAACTTTCGGAGGTCCGCGCAGATGTCTTGGATCGGCGCTGGGCCCCTCTCCCTGATGCGCGGAGCGCGCCAGCGGCGGCGCAGGAGGCGCCGCCAGGGGGGCCCAACTCCGATCCAAGAAATCCGCGCGGAGCTCCGAAAGTTCATGTTTGCGAGGCGGGGATTATCTGCAACCACCGCCTGGGGGGTCTTCGCGGACCCTGGCAGGCGGTGGATGTGGATGCCCACCCCGGGGCCCGAGTACATCCATACCCACCGCCTGCTGACGTCCCGAAGGTCGATCTCCCCAGGCGGCGGGTATGGAGAGATCTCCGCCTCGGAATGTTTACGCATGCCGTGGTTTCCCCATCGACCCCTGGACCCGGTGGCTTTTTGGCGAAGCTCTGCCACTCTGAACCTGAGCAGGGGCCGACCGTCATGGCATTCCTAAAGTCCTGCCACGGTATGTTCTTCGAACAACGAAGTGTTCGAATATCAAGAGCCATTTTTGCTCCCACCCGACAGATTGGGGTCGTTTGATCTTTCAAACAGACCTCACGCCCCGCCCGCCCTGCAGACCGCGGCCGCCAGATCCCGAGGCTCCCGATAATCCCTGGTGGTCCCGCCGCCCCTCCGCCCTGCATACCGCGGCCAGCGGATCCCCAGCCTCCCGATAATCCCTGGCGGTCCCGCCCCCCGCGACGACTCGCCCACTCTGCAGACTGCGGCCACCGGATCCCCAGCCTCCCGATGATCCCTGGCGGTCCCGCCCCCGGCGCCGACTCGCCCACTCTGCAGACTGCGGCCGCCAGATCCCCAAGTCCCCCGATAATTCCTGAAGGTGCCGCCCCCCGCGCCGACTCGCCCACTCTGCATACCGCGGCCGCCAGATTCCCAGGTCCCCCACAGAACAGAGCATAACACCACACCACCGAACAGAAGATTTCAGAGCACAACACACCACACCACACATACATACATACATATATCCATACATACAGACATACGTACATACATACACACCTATATATATAGGTATACATATAAATATACATACATATGCATATGTACATACATACGCATATACATACATACATGTTACATACATACATGCATACATGCATACATACATTCATGTTTACATACATACATAACAACACACATACATACATGTACATGCTTATCATTGTGTATATATACACAATGTACGATCACTTCTCCTGGCCGAGCAGTGCATACTATAGCACAGCATCGCAGCACATAACATTATAACACAAGGCAAGCCAAGTATGCCATAATAACACATCGCATACATCAGTCTGTCAAAACCATACCATGTCATATCATAACATAACACACCATACCATATCTTACCACACCACATCATAACGACGCATACCATGACTTGCTGGAGCACACGCAGCATACCATATCATACCATACCATGGCATACCATATCGTAACACACATTGTTTTGTTATGGTGTGGTTTTCTGTAAGAAGTTCATAACACACTATGCCACACCATCACAAACCACAACATAATACACCATCACATGACATACCATGCCATACCATGACAAAACATGCAAGGACAGACCACGGTATAAGATGCTTCATCGTAACACCATTCATTATAGCACACCACTATATTAGATGGCATACTTGGCCACACAGAACGTAGCATAACACCAAACCTCACAACACAGCAAAACAGCATATTGTGACACACCATGACAGAACAATGAGCGCGCGCACCTCCAGGATCAAACGCCGAAGGTTTCGGCGGAGATCGCTCGAAGCACATAATGTTGTTGCTTTTTTCTGGGCGGCCTTCTCTATCCCTGGGCCTCCATGCAGCTCCTCGTCGCGGCGGCCGAACTCCTCTCGAAGCCCTGGCCAAAACGGACCTCAGGAGACTGGCACACCTCGCTCCGCGGCTTAAAAACACGATCCAGCGAGCCACCAGTGCTGCTGCCAGTGGACGCTCAGACCTCCTCCACCTCCCACAGGGCGTAGCCGTTGGTGTTGACGTTGGCGTAGTTGACCGAGTCGAACTTCACGGTGACGGGGTACTTCACCTCGGGCTTCTGGTTCACATTCACGACGGTTCCGCGCTCCTGAAACCAGTAAGACTCGGGCCGCAGGATCTTGACCGTGGCGCCCTTCTTCGGCCCCACCCACGCCGCCTTGGCCTTCTTGGCGGCCTTCGCCTCCGCGGCCAGCGCCACGCCGCCCAGGCGCTGGTGGGGGCAATGCCAACGGGGGCTCACCACGAGGGGGGTCGCCGCTCCCTCGAGGAAGCGCCGTTGCCTCGGCGGCGTGGGACCCCAAGGGGCCCCCGAGACGACCCCGAACGTGACGGAGCTCCTCGAGCTTCGATCCTGGGACCTGGATCGCGAGGAGGAACCGGTGACCCCCCCCGGTGGCGACCCTCCGTGGCACTGCCCGAGCTGGGGGGGCCGCGCCGCCGCGGCGCCCGCGAAGGCGTCCGAGAGGCGGAGGCACGCGGCCGCGGCGCAGGCGACGGCGGCGAGCAGCAGCAGGGGGGTGCGGCGGCGGGCGGCCATGGCGCGAAGGCGGGGCAGAGGAAGAGGCCGGTGCGGAGGTACAGTGGACGCCCGGCCGCAAGAAAGCTGCCACAGGAAACCCAACCCCGAGACCCCCGGGCGTCGATTGATTCGGGGTGGGAGCGTCACGCCCTCCACGGCAGAAGCATCGAAAGCCAAGACACCCAGGGCCCCCTGGAGGCAGGCGGGGGTGTTTCTGGGCATGGGCCCCCACTGTACGCGTGCACCGAGGAGAGGCGCACTTCTGGGCCGTCAGCGCCTGGATCTTGAGCCAAGGTGGCTTGAGCCAAGATGGCCACGGAATCAGAGCCGAATTTCTTGGAGCACAAAGCCAATACATATCACACCAAGTCGGTCTCGGCCAGACATGTTCTGAGAACACTTCGTGCAACGCACAGAGAGGTGACCGGTGACCAAGACGTTATGTGGTGGGCCCATGGGCAGGTCAGGACGTTTCGTCACTGCAAGAATCTCAGCCCCTCCTCCCCGCGTGTGCGGCGTGGTAAACAATAAAAGTACCGCCAACCCTTTTTGGGAGGGGACCTGAAACAGGAAGGCCAGAAACATTAGGGACAGGGGACCTGATCTGCGGATGCCGCGAACCACACCGCCCAGATGGGACCTCAGTGAGGCCACGTCTTCACTGCGCTATTAGGGCTAGGGGTTCGTTTACCCTCGATGGCGGCGCGCTCCTCCTGCTCCTGCGCAAAGGCGTGCCGGAGCCTCTGGTGCTGCTCCTGTCGCCGGCGCCCGCGCGCCGCCGGGGTCAGCCGGGGCCCCCGACCAGGGGCCGGAGGGCACCGCTCGCTGCCTCGTCGTCGCCGTCTTCGCGCACCTCGCTCCTTCGCTCCCATCCGGCCTCCAGCCCTCCTCCTTCCCCTCCTCCTCCTCCTCCTCCTCCTCCTCCTCCTCCTCCTCCTCCTCCTCATGGTAGGCGGCTCAATGCGAATTACGTTTGGTGGTGTTGTTCTGGCGGAGATCTGTTCGACTCGGCCCGCTAACACTCCGCCTCCACCTCCGCCTCCTCCTCCTCCTTCTCCTCCTCTCTCCTCCTCCCTCCTCCTCCTTGTCGTCGTCCTCCTCCTCGTTGGCGCGGAGAGCTGAGGCACACGTCATCAGCTGCCATTTTGCTCCTCTCAGCTACGTTGTTGGAAGCAGCTCGTGTGTGACAGGCCAAACAATAGCTGCTTTCTGTCGGCCCTGGGACGGCCAGGGTGGCAGGGCACGGCCGCGGGGCCATCGGGGTGTGCTTGCATGCCTCCCGGTCGCCCGTTTGATCGCGACACTCCCTAGCGACACTCCTTGTCTTGGTCGTCCTCCTCCTCCTCCTCCTCCTCCTCCTCCTCCTCCTCCTCCTCCTCCTCTTACGCTTCCTCCTTCTCCTCGTCCTCCTCCTCCTCCTCCTCATGCCGCCTCCCCCTCCCTCGAACTTTGCCGCCCGCCTCTTCCCTCTCACCCTTCCCTGCCCTCCAGTCCTCCGCCCCCTGCCCTCCTTTCATTCCTACTCCTTATGAATAACTCCTCCCTGTCGCACCCCGAGGCTGGTTGAAAAGGCGGGCCGGGCGTTTCGCCTGAGACTTCCTCACCATTTATGATCCTGAAGCTTCGACGTTGGCACTCGATTCAAAGATGGAGGGCGGGCCACTTCCAAAATGTGGCTCTCGCCTGGGTGCCGCGCACACTCGCCTTGAACATTTGCAATGGTCACACGGAGTGGTGGCGACCGTTTTCAAAATGTGACTCTCGCCTTCGCGCCGCGCACACTCGTCCTAAACATGTGCAAGAGCTTCACGGATTGAGGGCGGTTCTTTTTCAAAATGCGGCTCTCGCCTTCGCGCTGCGCACTTTCGTATTCACACAATAGAGGAGTGTCGCGGATTCGCATGGCTAGCGTACTGGAAATGGTGTGTGGGAACGATTCGGGATTGTCAAGGCGCGGCAGTTACATTGATTCGTGGTGCTGAAGTCCCAGGAATGGCGTGCCGGCGCGATTCAGGATCGTCAAGACGAAACAATCAGGTTGATCCGTGGCGTTGGAGTTCCGAGAAAGGTGTTCTGGTACGCTTCAAGATCTTCAAGCGGTTGTCTCCCAACGGGGCACTTCCCTCAGTGGAAACGAACCCTTGTAGGGGCCCGTGAAAAAGGTAGCTTGGAGGGAATTTCTGTTGTCCGCGCGGGAGGGGCGGGCCTGCTCAAGAAACCGCGCCAGCTTTGCGGCACGTTGGCTTAGAACACCCGGCCCAGCTGTTCGGGAGAAGGCTTCTGGATCGTATGCTCGACCGTGTTCGGCCTGATTGGCGGGGCCCTGAGACACACAAATAAATTCACACTAATAAAAAGATCCCCCATATTTTCCTATATTTTCTTGGTTTTTGTCTCCCCCCCCACTTCCCGAATGTTTCCATATTTTCTTGGGAATCGACGATTAATTGTTGTGTCTGTGTTTTTTTTCCCCCTCCTGACTGATTGATGCGCCTCTGGGCTGGATGAAGCCTTGGATGAAACCCGATCCAACCAGGTCGAAAGGGATTCAACGGGATCGTGCTACGTTAGACTGATTTGTCGGCCAGGGAGCTACCAGCGCCGATGCCGAATCGAACCTCACAAGAGCTGCATCCAAAAGGGGAGGGCAGAGGAGGAATCGGGCGAGGTGGGCGGGGGGGGGGGGGGGGCAGCCGAAGGAAGCGCAGGCCATGCGCCATGCGTCACAACGCGTTGGCACCAGCTGGCACGCGGTGCATGTGCACACGTGAGCGGATTTTTGTTCCTCAGAGTCGCCCCGCAACTCCTCCTGCCCCAGCTCATCCGCTCTCCTGCTCGTTCTGCCCCTCCTGCTGCCCCTTCTGCGGCCGCTGTGGCCCGTCCTCTTCCTCGTGCTCCTCCTCATCACTTCCCGTCCTCTTCCTCGCCCAATGCGCAGGAGGCTGATAGGGGCGAACCGATGGTAACGCGTCACGATGGGTGGCATCGGCAAGAACCAGTATAATGAATTTGCGCCCCGCCTGGGGTGCTCTGCTTTCTTGTTATGATTGCGCTCTGGGGGAAAAGACGATCGACTCGGACATGCCCAAACCGAATGTCAGCACATGCTTGCGATCGTGCTTGGATTTAGAACAGGAGTGACACGCAGTCAGAACAAGGAAGGCGTATGCATCGGCGTGGCCTGGGCTCGCAAGGTAGCGTGTCTAGCAGGAAACGCCAAGGCCGCCTACACCGCACCCCTCCCTGCCCTGCCTGGATCCGCCTGTACGCGTTGAGGAGGTCTGAGTGAACGTCCTTCAGCGCGGCGTTGTCTGCCTCATGGGGGCACGCTGTACAACACCGGGTCACGCACTTTCGCTGGAAACGATCTGCATTGCAATGGTTGCCTTCCGCCATCTCCTGAGCTCTCGCCATATTCCCTTGAGGCTTGCACATTGTCAGGTCTTGCACGGACGATCGAAGGCGATCCAATCCAACGCGTCCCACACTTGAAGAGGCACAAATGGGACGATGCGTAAACCGGTGGGCGTTCTCCGTGAGTGACATGCGCTGCTGCTTGGACGAATGACGCTCGCCCGCAAGCGGGCAACGTCTGCAGTAGGAGGAGGAGGAGGAGGAGGAGGAGGAGGAGGAGGAGGAGGAGGAGGCGGAGGCGGAGGCGGAGGAGGAGGAGAAGAAGGAGGATGAGGAGGAGGAGGAGGAGGAGGAGGAGCAGCAGCATTAGCAACAGCATCATCATCATCAGCAGCAGGAGATCCCATCCGACAGAATCCGCCGGAGGTGCTGCGAATCGGCGTCCTCGCTCTTCTCATCCGATTTCGGCCAGGTCGACTCGCGATGCTCGACGCTGCTCAGAGAAGATGATCCTGGACCGCCTCCCGGGTACAATATCCCGACCCATCGCTCGAGCCAGGCCAGCAGGAGGACATGTGTTGACCAAGAGGAGCAGGAGGAAAAGGAGGAGGAGGAGGAGGACGAGGACGATGAGGAGGAGGAGGAGGAGGAGGAGGAGGAGGAGGGGGAGGAGGAGGGGGAGGGGAGGATGAGGAGAAGTGGTCTTGAGCCCAACCGGCCGCTCCACCATTACCTCTCCGGTGGAGGGCCCAATCAGCGTATCCACATCCTCCCATCCAGAAAAACGTTGCCCAGGCGAGTTGCCTTGATCATGGATCTTTTTGCCTAGATCATGCATCATTGAAGTACAAGAGCAATCATTCGAGCAAAGGAGGGCAGCGGGCAAACCGAAGCTCGGGATCAGACTAAGCATATGCACGGGTCAACTAGAAATGCATTATCGGACCTTCCGATATGGGAGTCTCTTGGAAGCTAATTGAAACGATGCTAGAGTCCTCCGGAACGCCATATTGGAAGCCGTTGGGGCTCTCCTAGGACCATCTTCGGGCGTTCCGATCTAGAACGCCATCGGTAAAACATGGCAGGTCCATAATCAGCGTCACCTCTTGGGACCCTCTTCGGGCGCTCTTGGGGCCGTCTTGGAGCTCTGCTTGGCCCCTCGTACGGCTCTCTTGGAGCCACCTGGAGACCTCAGAAGCCCATCGGTCTTGAGTCCCACAGGCCGCTCCACCGTAATCTCTCAACTGGTGGGCCCAGTCAAAATGTAATTCTTGACGCTTTGCATGTCCAGACCAGGTCATCCAGAAACGATGCCCAGGCGAGCTGCCTTTTTGAAA